CCCACTTGCATGCAACTTTAAAAATTATTTGTACATAATGTTCACGCTAAACTTGTAAACCTTAGGTCTAACGCTAACACTAAATTTTCTATTTAGAAAAGGTAATCATATATTGCATATTATTCTTAAATTTGTTGATTTATTCATTATTGATTTGTTAGTGTGGTGAAAAAAAAGATCTGAAAATAAGTTTCACTCTGCGAATGATCATCCATGGTGTGATAATATTTGAGTAGCTTGTCAACAAAGTGACAAAGTATTCATTATTGCGAGATCAGATGACTTTATAGGTCACATACATAATTTGTAGGCTTTAGCCTTTTATAGAATATAATGGATGCTGGAGGTTTTCTAATTAGATCAGGTTTTCCTTGGTCTAGTTTGTAATTGTATATGATCGTGATTGTTTCAGTGGCAGAGGAATATAAATATTAACGATTATTGTGGTTTGCAAAATTATGTAAAATTCAAAAAAAAGTAATCACTGATTTCCGATTACTGATTTCCGATTTCTTCAGCATTTTTTTTAACTTTTAGACTTGACAAAATTTGCATATTTATTATTTGTACAAAATGATGAGTATGCAACTTTTATTTCTATAAAAATAATAAAATTTTAACAAAATAATAACTGCACAAATTTTTTCTAATCTAAAAGTCAAAAAAATGTTGAAGAAATCAGAAATCAGTAATCAGAAATCGTGATTACTTTTTTTTTTAATGATTTTCAAATTTCACATATTTTTGCAAACCGCAATAAGTAATAAAAGTAAGAGGTGTTTTCATATGGTTGCAGATGATATAATATATATGGGATGATAGTAAGGCAGCATATTTAAGGATGATATATTTAGTAAGAGTTTTATCTTTCTTTTTGCTATCGCTCGCCTTGCAGGAAGGCTGGCTCTATTGTCCCACCCAACCCACCTGTTTAACAGTAGCTCTCGATAATTTGTGAGGTGCATTTGGCTTGTAAGAAGGTAAATTGGTGAGTAATGTCAAACCTTGTAGCTATAATGGCAATGTTAGTTTTGTATTTTTGATTATGTAATTGTTAAGCTCCGCAGCTGTGGCAGCAGTGCAGAAGGCTTTGTTTTGTACGATGAGTAGGCTCTGAGGCTGCAGTAGCAGTACAAGAACCTGGGTTTTAAGCTCCATGAGGAGCATAGTAGTTGCAAGCTTTGTGTGAGTATTTAGGCTCTGAGGCTTCAGTAGTAGTGCAAGAACTTTTGGAGTTTAGGCTCTGTGGCTGCGTGGCAGTGCAAGGACTGGCCCCATGACTATAGGGTTGCAGTGCTACAATGATCATCATGCTGAAGTAATTAGTTTTCGTGTTGTATTATAAGATCAATTCTAGTCTTCCTAATAAGCTATGGAAAGCTATAGCTTTTAGTTTATTTATAGATCTACAAAAATTTGCATATAAAAACTTAATTAGCAATGTTAAATCAATGAATGATGACGCCTCATTACAAACCTCAGATAGAGGAATATTAGCTATTAAAAGGCGAAGGTATAATGTCCCATTTGAAAGTATTTCTGATTGGCTATTAGCTTTCAAAGCTTACATGGATGCTGTGCTTATAATACAGTCGGACCTCCCTATAATCACACCCCATATAGTCACACCTCTATTTAAGCACCCAATTTTGTGCTACGGACTTAAAATATAGTAAAAAACCTCATTATAGTCATAAATCACTTATAATCACTATCACATTAAAATATAATTTTTAAGTCAAATTTATTAATAAAAAAACCTCCTTATAATC